AAAAAAAATAAAATGTTGAAGTATTTAAAGTTATATCAAAAATAATTTTTAATATTGATATTATTATGGTGGGAGGGGCCCAAGAAGGCAAAAGTGCCTAGGGCCCACGAAAGTCATAATGCGGCCCTGGTGATAAGTGAGTCGATAATTATTATTTAATCCTTCCTTGATGGGGCTCGTGGTGGCAACTGCAGAGAATGTCAGGCTCAATTAAAAATAAGCCCTGAGGAGCTAGAGCCTAAGATAGAGAAAAGGCTTCCAGGGAGAAAGAAAAAGGGGATTGAAGGGTAAGGAGTCCTGATTCTATCTTCAACGGAAGAAGGTGTCAGGGAAAGTAGGCCTGGCTGGATTTTTCCTCCATTGACAGACCTCAGCAGGGATGTAAATTAGACATACCAAAATTGCTAATGAAGCAGGGATTTAAATATCCCATGCTTCATTAGCATAAAAATGGCCGCCACTTTTTGTCGCCACGGAGCTTTGGTGATGAAAAGCGGCAGTCTAGACGTGGATCTGTCGCTCACTAAAACCTTTGACGACAGATCCTGTATACCTCGTTGTACGAGTCATAAGGGATCTGTCGTTAAAGGCTTTAGTGAGCGACAGATCCGTGTCTAGACAGCCGCTTTTCATCTCCAAAGCTCCGTGGCAACAAAAAGCGGCAGCCATTTTTATGCTAATGAAGCACGGGATATTTAAATCCCCGCTTCATTAGCAATTTTGGTGTGTCTAATTTACATACCTCTGGCAACAGAGGGATGTAGTCTAGACATACCCAGGGAGCCTCTCCTGGAAAGGGAGCTCTGACTGGAATAGGAAAGACTTAGAATGGTTACAAGAAAAAAGTGTGAGTCTTTGTGATGGACCTGGATAAAGGGGCAAAAGTCCAGGGAGACAGATCTGACAGTTGATAGGCTAGAGGAGGGTTGGGTTGGCGATGTCTAGAGAAGTTGCTCTGGAACCAGATACTTGAGTAGAGAAAGGAGGGCAGAAGGAGCAGAAGATGATGGACTGATCTGTTTTGGGACTAATCTGCTAGAAAGTACTCCCATGCTAGTGGCTCATGACTGCTCTACCAGTTTACCAATGGATCTGGGGGCTTTTCCACCAAGGAATCCAAAAGGTCTGCTGGTCATCTTTGCTGTGTTTAAAAGGAAGATGCAGGAGAAAAGTAATGGAGCACAGGAAAGGTCTCTGTGACAGCTCTCACTGTATGAATTTTAGCAACTGGAGCAGAAAGAACACTTGCAAAGGAAAAGCATTTTGCTGCTGCATGCCAGATGCACATACGGCTTCTACTACCTCTTTATTTATTAAAAACTTTGAGCCTGCTAAGCTATGCAATGCTTAAAGGTCAGTGTGGATAGACTGGTTCCCATGAGGGATCTGCAGTGGATGTCCTTATTCTAGCCTGCCAATATCTGGAAATAACAAACAAGGAGATTGGGGGGAGGAAAAATAGGGACATACTTTTTAACTCTGTTGAAATCCATCAGAGCTGAAGAACTCTTTGGATGAATATGAGGACATCTGATCGATATTTTCTTGGAAGCCTAGGGTAGCAATTCTCAGGACGTACAGTTTCTAATTTCACCAAGGTTCCTTAGCCCTTCAGCATTTCGTGATAGATAAATGGAGTTCTGCACAACTTGCTGTTTGGGTGTGTAGTTCAGGTAATGTAAAAAATGAGACTCTGGCTGTGATATATGGATGACAGAGATCCCCTTGCACCTGTCATCAGAGCAGGCTCTTCTTCCAGGTTCTTCAACCAGTGGTTCCCTTCTCCACAGGATGCAAGATGCCCTGCGTGCTAGCTGTCCACTTCAGGTGTTTCTGCGTGTCAGTGGTGCAAACACATATTTGTGGGGGCCCTTAAGAGAGAAGGGGTGTCACAGAAATCTAAAATATGTATTTGTGAAAGCAAGGTAGTTTATGCCGAATTACATATCAGGGACAGTAACAAACCAGTAGCAGAATTCCAGATAATTTCTCTCACCTACATTAATTATATTAGACCTTCCATCTGTTGTTTTCCCCGCCTTGACTCCAAGCATTTTACATTAAATAATTGATCTTTATTTGAAATGTACATGTTGATTGAACTGGGATAATTTTTAAGATTATAAAAAACACAGATTTTCGTCACTAAGGTGACAGCTCCGTTCCTTTTGACAGCGTCAGAGGCTCGTGATAGTGTTAATCTATGCAGCTTTAGTCGTGCTGCTTCTGATGCTTTGTCACTTATTGAAGGTTCAGACAGACGGGTACCTCTCCTTCATTCTATCTCTTATGTTGGAGCTGCCAGCAATGCTTCTAATTACAAAGGATTGTCACTAACCACACTTCTTCTTTAGGGCAGAATTCTTAAAGGCATATACCAGGAAGTGAGGCATGTCAGAAATCTGATGAGAAATAACTCACAGTCCTGAACATTTGTAGTTATTACTTACAGATCCCCTGGCACATTCTGCAAGAGTCTGTGTGCTAATCCTGCTGTCTAGCCACATTTCACTCTGGGTAATTAATTGTGTGCACTGTGTGTACTTAGAAACTCTTCCCGTTATCACTACATTCATTTTTTTTAAATGGGGTTAGTTTTTTCTGTTTTGTTTTTAATTAAAATAGACCACAATTCTTCTTACTGTATGGCATTTATTATTCAGCTCCTGCAATGATAGATTAATAGAAAAATGATAGATTTCCTCCCTGGAAAATGATAACATATTTAATTGTCGTACTTTATACAATAATAATTTTCATGTAGTTTGGATAATTCATTTTTGAGATCTGAGACCCATTGTAAACAATATGCTTACAGGCAGGAGAGCTGACAGCCTCGCTGGGCCCCTGGGCAAGATGGGAAGGAGGAGGGTATTGGGTCCATGCTCCCAGAAGGGGCAAGGCCTTCAGTGGAAGGGGCAAGGGCTTGTGTTGAAGGGGCAGAGCCTTGGGCAGGGCCTCATGCTGGAGAGGCGGGGTTAGGGGTAAGCAGCCCTGAGCTCTGGGCACTGCCACAGCAGTAGTGGCAGTAGCAACTGGGAGCCCAGGGCCCTTTTGAATCACCAGGCTACAGAGCCTTCTCCTCACCCCCACCATCGTCAGGCCTGTTTACAGGTATGATTCATATTTAAAAGGGCTGCAGTTCCATTTTGAGGTGTAATTTTGAGAGGAACTTAGATCAGAACATTGATTGCAGTGCTTCCACATAGTGTTAGCAAACTAAGTTACAGGTCACTATACAGATAGTTGGCAGAACAAAGGGGAGTACTGTAAGAGAGGCTGTAGCCCATTATCCCCCACTAAAAACTGGCCTGATCATATCCCACTTAAAAGTTACCCCTTAAGCAGCTTACTCTCGGGACAACCCCAACTCTCCAAGATGGTCTGTCAACAGCAAACGGTGACAGAAAATCCAGTGTAACATTCAATCCTTCCTCTCCTCCCCAGTCTCCTCCAATAATAGCAGAAGAGATAGATGGATAAGGTAGGATATTATGTAGGATCTGGTTCAGGAAGGTACTAAACTTCACATATTATGTAGGATCTGGTTCAGGAAGGTACTAAAGCCTATATATAACTTTAAGCATAAATCTCATTAACTACAGTAGGAGTGAAGCACTTGTTTAAAGTTAAGTATACATTTAAGTACTGACTTACAGAGGGACATTTTCCTAAAATAAGGCTAAGTGATATCTTGGCTATGGTCTGAAAGATATTACAGCAATATGGACTGTGCTGCATGGAATACAGTCACACACACCTTTGCCAGGATTTCAGTGTTTCATCATCATCTTCATCTCTCTCTCTGTCTCTCTCTGATTGTCCCAGTTCTCAAAGGTCCCAGTGTGTGGTGTGATCTTATCTCCCTGGTGTATGGTGGAGAGAAGCAGGCACATCCAGCTTCTGGATCTGATAGCTTTAACAAGGCACCAGGAAGTCAGGAGCATCTTTCCGCAGGCCACAAACACAGGGAGCACCCTAAAAGACTTCCATACAGTCTGTTCAGGGAGATCTCTGGAGACAGCTAAGCAGAGTCATTGGACTGCTATACCCCTTTGTTTTGTGTTGCTCCCGGGTGCACTCTATAGAACATAAGGCTGCCTCAGAAATCCTTCAGGATAGAAATCTGACCATCGGCATTATTGAGATACCTGTGTTTCTAGCATTTGACTCTTCAGGTACCTTTTCTTGCTACTAATGGACTATAATAATACTAAAGCAAAATGCAGGACAATGTAGCACTTTAAAGACTAACTAACAAGATGGTTTATTAGGTGATGAGCTTTCGTGGGCCAGACCCAGAGGAAGTGGGTCTGGCCCACGAAAGCTCATCATCTAATAAACCATCTTGTTAGTCTTTAAAGTGCTACATTGTCCTGCATTTTGCTTCAGCTACCCCAGACTAACACAGCTACATCTCTATCACTATAATAATACTAGATTCTCTAGAGCCACAGGTGTAAATTTTGGCAGGATCCCCTGGCTTTCTCCCTTCTCCCCAAAACGTCTGGGATCTCTGATGCCCACCCAGAGCATGGAGGAGTCCTCTAACTACTCCCTTAATACTTTCTTCTCCAAAGGCCTGAATCACAGGGGCTCCCCATTAGTAAGAGAGGCTGGATGTAGCTCACTCTAGAGGCTGTCAGTGAAGCTCCTGGAATGATCCAGTATTAATCCATGTGATCGGTGGCCACGTGGCTTCCTCAGAAACTTTCACAGCCAAGCTTGGCTTGGAATCAGCTGAGGATTTGTTTATTTAACCGTAAGTTGAAGCCAATGTGTTTGGTCAGACACGTCAATTAATAAGGACGCAAAAGGCTGGCGGGAACATTGTTCAGCTAAGTAAAGATGTCTTATGGCTATTATGGGAGGGTTCTCTGTATTGTCTCTCCATATATTAAAAAATCCTTTTCCTGTGAGACTAAACATTTTCCTGCAGCCCCTCCCCTCTCAGTCATCAGGCCTCCTCCTTCCCTCCTCCCTGCTGCTAACTCCATTACCTCAAAACGCAGTCTGCGCCGTCCTGACCCTTCTCCGCTGATCAGATGGGGGCTGAGAGGCCTGGGATAGCTGCAGCAGATGGGGAGACTGAGAGGCCCAGGCTCCCACTGGCTGGGGAGAGAACCAGGCCTTCCTACCCCAAGAGACTGGGGGGTTGGCGAGTGCAGTGAGCAGGGGGCACAGTCGCCTAGTAACTTGTTATGTACCTTCGCCACCCATATATGCATGTGCACATGCACACACACACACACACACACTACACACACTACAATAATCTTTGCAGCCTTCCCCTCTCTTGAATTGTCTAACCCAATACAAGGTTTTGCTTTGGGAAAAGAATTGCACAGGAAATGTCAGGAGACTTTTCTTTCCCCTGCATCTCTCAAGAGAGCCCTGCTTATTTTTACACTCTGTCTCTTTTGTGCATTGTTTTCAGAGAACGTCTCCTGCAGCTACATAAAACAACACACCCAGCTCACCATGACAATTACTCACCGTGGGTCAGGGCACAAAGAATTGTTTAGGGAGAAGTATTTTTTATTTGATTAGAAATCATTCTCTTTTGATGTCAAGGATTAGCTTACATTATTCTCCAGTCAAAATCTATTTATTTTAGCTGGCTATAAAGCCAGGACGAAGAGCCAGAAATTCCTGAGATATAATTCTATCCTGATGAAGACATTATCAATAATCTGGAGCAAGTCACATAGCTTTTCAGCCTTTAGTTTTCCCTCTGCAAAATGGGAACAATATAATTTGCATCATTGTGAGGATGTACTAGTTGATTCTGAGAACAAAATTCTGGGTGAAATCTTGGCTCCATTGAAGTCAGTGGGAGTTTTTCTATTAACTTTGATGAGGCCAAGATTTCACTCCTTAAGCATTATTGAGCATTAAACCAGCAGCCTTAGCTCTGAAAAAGTTTCTAGTATTCTGTCCCCTTTGTGCAATCAATTGTAACACTAATTTTTTTCCACTTTGTCTCAAAGCCTTTTTCTTTGTAGTGAACATATCACATTTTTAGTCATTTTCTACCTACGACATGTGCATGTTTGAGTATCCACATGAGATGCATTTTATGAATTTTAAAATTAAAATGATATATAAATATTTGGATATAAATTGAGAAAAGTTTGCATTTCAGACAGCTTTGAGGCTGGAGTAGTTTACATTAAGTGGTCAAACAAACTAATGTAATTAGCGTTAACAGAATGTGAGCAATCTGAGGCCTTCAAGTGGGAGAAAGCATGGTATGCCAAAAATGAATCCTGAGCAGAAAATATCCTCTGACAATGTTGCTTTTAAATTATGACTGACGGAGTATGCTGAGCAGATCAAGAGTGAGGCCAGCCCTGCAGTCCTTATTGGGGCAAAATTCAGATCGACTTGAACTGATGCTGTGAACACTTATCATCTCTGAAAATCAAGCTCTGTTTATCTAACATTGGACAATTAAAAATGAAGGCACCCAGACATTAAAGACCCCTTTTGAAAAGATGAGCTCATTTAACTTGCCCAAAGTCAAACAACGAGCCAGTACCAGAGCTAGGATAAGAACTTACGAGTTCTAATTAAAAGCCTGCTCCAACCACTCCATCATACTTCCTGCTCAAATGGCTTGTATTCTTGAAAGACAGGATGGTGAAGGGTTTTGGTTTGGGAATAAATGAGAACAGCAAGTCCTCATTTCTACTGGCATGAAAGGGAACTCTGCAGGGGAACGTAAAGGAAGCCTCTGGGAAGAGAGAAAATGGGGCTGTCATATGTAAACAGAGGCTAGCCTACCTACTGTTACCTGCAAAAGATGAGAGAAATATGTTGCAAACATTATCAAATAGGTACTAAATCAAGCCAAGTATTGTGGGGGAAATCCCCAGAAATGGGATACAATGCATACAGATACATCCCTGACTACTAGTGGAGATACAAACCCTGGGCAGCAGGATTTTTCCATCCCTGGGATTCATGACATACTTTTATCTGAGAAACACAACTAGCCCTTCTGAGCCTTCCAAAGGCAGATGCCTTTGGATAAAGCCACTTACTCGTGACATGAGGTGCAGGGTTCTCGCTGGGTTGAACCTGGAAACAGCTCTTTGCTCCTTTCCTTCTTTTTTGACCCATGAATGTGGTTCTTATTAAAGTGAGGGAACCAATAATAATATAAAGAATTCATAATAAATAATCATTTGAATTTCCTTTATGCCTTAAAACCGGATGGGAACAACCCCGCACCTTGTCTACCTACAGGAGTGTTTATGCAGCCACCTTTAGGGCAGGAGGCATCAGACAACTAATAGAAGGCAGATGAGCCACCAGTGACCTATGTGGAAATTTTGTCCAAGGACACTAAAAGCAAATCTCTTTGCTCATGTGCCACAATCCCATTCCACCCCTATATATATCTCCCGCCACACACTCATCCCACATACACATATGGAGCAGACAGCATGGAAATCTGCCTTGACAGAATGAAGGACTAAGTTTATGCTGTAGTTCTAGGATGTAGTCACAACAAAGGTAATAAGAGAGGTTCCCTCCCTCCCAACCTCACCTGCCTGCTAACCAGAAATATGTTTATGCCACACAATGCCAACCAGTCATGCCAATAGCTGTTAAGCACTCAGACTTTCATTGTATGAATCTTTAGCTATCTCAAAAAGTTCTGTCTTGATTAAAGAGATTCTAAAAAAGAGACTCTGGGTGTTTTGCTAAATGACACCTGGGCTGTGTCTAGACTGGCAAGTTTTTCCGCAAAATCATCTGGCCCTATCCCACCACCCCTCCCTTCAAAGCTCTGGAGTAGCTATGGCTGGAAAGTGGATCTGCACTGGAGATTATCAATCCTGCTGTCCTAGAAGGGCCTGGAGTGTGGCTAGTGCGGTAATGTCTGGAGAAGAAGCACAGCATATCACCTATATTCCTTGGAAGCTGAGCACTTGGGCAGCCACCCAGGTGAGATTCAAATGTCACCCAGCTGATTAGCAGAGTGCCCAGAGTTGGCAGAATGTGTTTCTACTCGTGGTGCACATCTGCACATGCCTTGGTGCACATAACAAAATTTATTCTGCACACAGATAGAAAAAATTGGAGGGAAAAAATTGGAGGGAACATTGTGTATCGCTAAAGAAAATATCACCGCGTCGATGGCTGCAATTTGGCTGACGATGGAGAAGCTCCTTGCACTGTACATTTGGCGTGTTAAAGGTTTCTATCCAGAGTCAGACTCACTGACTGTGAGCTAAAGCCACCACGTTAGTAATTTGGAGAAGGAACAGAAGGAAGGTCTGCAGCTGCTTTTGGCAGTGCAGCGAGATGAGGAGAGACACAATAGGAGGTGATATGGGAAGGAGTCACACATGAAAACAAGACATTTTGGCTAAGTCTACAGTGGCACTTTACAGCGCTAAAACTTTTTAGCTCAGGGGTGTGAAGAAACATTCCTTTCCTAAGCGCAGCAAGTTACAGTGCTGCAAAATGCCAGTGTAAATCAGGCTATAGCACTGGAAGCCACATTTCCAGCACTGTTAGCTACTCCCCTCATGAAGGAGATTTACATAGAGTGGGTGGGAGAGCTCTTTCCCAGCACTCATGCTGTGGCTACACTTGGACGCTTTAAACTTTTCATAGGATCATAGAACACTAGGACTGGAAGGGACCGCGAGAGGTCATTGAGTCCAGTCCCCTGCTCTTATGGCAGGACCCAGTACCAGAGACCATCCCTGACAGATGTCTATCTAACCTGCTCTTAAGTATCTCCAGAGATACTTAAAGTGTAGACAAAGCCTTAAACGTAATCCAGTGAGCAGAGAAAGGGAGTGGAGTGATTAAAAGTGCATGTGAGTAGATAAGATCAGAATGATGATCAAAGGGAATAATTTTGGACAACTGAGGGAGAAGGAGGAGAAACTCAAAGAGGCCAGAGATGAAGCAGCTACAGTGATCACGGTGAGCACATATGTTTTGCCCCCAAGAATAAAGAAAGTCACATTTTTCAAATGTAGAGAAAGAAAGGGACAAGACTTAGGGTTTGTTTACACTTGAAACCCTGTAGCACTTCAGTGTAGACTGTCCCTATGCTGACAGGAGGGAATCTCCTGTCCATGTAGATAATCCACTTCTTGGGGCTAGGCTTGTTTAGAGGTGTAGTCATTCAGGGTTAAAGATTCTTTAGATTTTCAATTAGGCCTGCTCTACCTGGGAAAACTGCACCAGTTTGAGCAAGGAATTAACTTAATCTGATTTGATTAAATAGGTGCAAATCTGATTTGATTAAATAGGTGTGAATGCTCTGAGACCTGTTCCTGGCAGACGTTAGCTAAAACGAAATCACACCACACTCAGGGCAGGTCTACACTGTCGATCTAATTTGCATCACTCAGAGGTGTGAAAAAGACTCCCCTTCCTCCCTTCACTCCCCACCCCCCGCCCGCTTTGAGTGACACAAGTTAGAGCGACCTAAGATCTTCCATGCCAGCACTATGTATGAAACAAAATACAGGACTATGTAGCACTTTAAAGACTAACAAGATGGTTTATTAGATGATGAGCTTTCATGGGCCAGACCCACTTCCTCAGATCAGATAGTGGAAGAAAATAGTCACAACCATATATACCAAATTTTTTTAATTGTATCCTTTGGTATATATGGTTGTGACTATTTTCTTCCACTATTTGATCTGAGGAAGTGGGTCTGGCCCACGAAAGCTCATCACCTAATAAACCATCTTGTTAGTCTTTAATGTGCTACATAGTCCTGTATTTTGTTTCAGCTACACCAGACTAACATGGCTACATTTCTATCACTAGCACTATGTATGGCGCTCTCCTTCAGACATGGCTTTCCTCTCACGGAGGTGGAGCAATTATGCTGGCAGGAGACAGAGCATCTTCACCAGCTGCGCCGCTGTCGCATTTCTAGTGTAAACTTGCCTTCAGAGTGTCCACAAAGGGAACTGCTCCAGTTAAACTGATTCCGGATAAACTCACCCCTAAGGTGAGATGAGTGCAACTCTACAAATCTGTGAGGAGGCAGAGAGGGAGTCAGCAGTGATCCAGAGGCTGTGAGATGGGGAGAAGGCGGGAAGTTGAGGGGGGGACGATTCAGGAGGGAAATGTATACCATTTACTTTCAGGGGCATATATATAAATGGGCAAAAAAACCCAACAGCCTAGATTTGCCTCCAGCTCATCCTGTCAATCTATGCTGCAAGTCAGCCTGAGTGCCAGTCCCTTTGAAGTG